TAAATTTACGTTAAAGTCCACGATGAAACAATAAAAATTGAAAGTAAACGATGCATAAAATGTCTCCTTAATCTATTCTCTAAAATATGCTTAGCCGGCGTTAAAGCGGCTGTTGTTTTAGTTACAAATATTAAAGGTGATTCAGCATTAAAGTCTGAAACCTCTACGAGTATGCTGCTACGGGAATATTTTCTCGCAAAACATTTCCCTTTATTGAAGGCCGACAGGTACTGTATTTTTCATTGCGGTATGTATACGCAACAGGACTAAAGAATGTAAACAGTATGCCAGTTTTATTTTTAGTAGTGCAATTGAATGAATGAATGAAAATTTATTTCAATAATCCACAACACTTAGACTGCAAGTATAACAACATTAAAAAAATAGAAAAAAAAAATGTTTACATTTATATATAACTAGCGGTCCGTCCCGGCTTCGCATGGGTGGATATTTTTACAACATTTTACACTTTTTAACATAATATCTTTCGAATGGAATATACCTACGATATGAAAAATTCAAAAAGTAATCTGCAAGTATTGAACCAATTTTGAATACAAAAAAAAAAATACTTGGATAAGGATTAATAAATAAGTATGAATAACATGTACAACGCGACAGCGTTATTTTTCTATTTCTATGAGTTATTAAATTCCTAATATCTATTGAATGGAATAGCAGATTTGAACAATTAAAAAAGTAATCTACATAAATTGAAACAGTTTTGAAAACAATATGATTTATTTGGATAAGGATTTAAAGAGAAGTATGAATAACATGGTGTAATTTTGGTCGGTATTTCTATCAACTTTTAAAATGTAAAAAGTGGTTATTGTGACATAACGATAATAGTTGGACATATAGTATCGTGAAATTTTTTGTTTATAGAACACACTTTTGTTGTTTCACCAATACTTTCCGCAGCACACGCAACGAAAGATGTTTTATAGCATTTTTTTACACCTTGGTTACGTTACTAAGACTTTAGTAAAGATCCCTAATCTTTTCTAGCAATAAATAATACTATGTTATTCAGGGTAAATGTAGCTTTCTAATGGTGAAAGAATTTTAGATATCGGCAAAGTAGTTTTTGAGTTTATTCATTACAAACATAGATACACACAAAAATACAAATCTTTCCTCTTTATAATATTAATTAGTGTAGACTTCAATATTGTAAAACATACTTTTGTTCTATCACCAATAGTTTTCACAGCGCACGCGACAAAAGATATTTCATAGTTTTATTATATTATTGTATATTATATACACAAAATTTTAAATTCAGGAACACTAATGTGTATATTGCATTCTAGTGGTTCCAGAACAAATACACAAACAGACAAATAAAAATTATAATAGTTATGGTTTTGACTTCTATTACTCTAATGAAGACCCTTCATATAATTTATTCTAAATTATTTCTTACGTACAGATATTAATTAGTTCTCAATTTTTTTATATCTCAATTTTGTTATTATCCTTGAATTGGGATTGTGAGACTATTGTAAGATTAATATTAGTAAGGAGATAAAACTTTATTTATACTCAGTGGGTGATCTAGGCGAAAGTCAGGCAATATGAATTCACTGTGAACTAATATGGTCATCCATTACTCATATAGACATTTATTGAAATCCCTAATCTCATTTGCGACATATACATTACATATCATATATCATACATGAGGTACGCTATAGTTTAGTTTATCCTAATTTATTGTCATTTACACTTTAAGATTCGTGCGTTCTGTTTTGATACACTACCTTACAGTATGCAACATTAAAGTTGTCATTCACTACTCCACATAATTTCTCAAAAAACCCTTTTAACTACTTTTAGAAATTTGGAATAAAATTTTTAAATACTAAAATATTATTTGGACGGGTGTGAGTAATTGTTCCATAAATAGTCTATTCGTGTATTTGTTATGGATAAGTAATTTATTAACACAATTAATTGATAGATAAGAAACTGTAATGAAGAATTAAACTTCGAAGAAACTAGACTATTAGTGCTGTCTCGAGATGGAATAAGATCCAGGCACTTAATTGTAGTAGAAATGTAGAAATAAGGCATAAACTAGTGAAAATTTATTATACTACATACATACATATGTACTCGTATTTACAGGTAATTCCATACGCACTTTCGATATACGCTGGCGAGGTACTAGTGAGGGATGACGGTTGAGGATGAATTCAGGTCAGTTGACCTATCGTGATGAATTCATCAGGTACTAATGGCGATGGTTTTCAGAGAGGGTCGGATGAAGGTCGACCTAATAAAGTGTATTGCTAGCAATAGGTCCATTCGACCCTATTACTGACAACCTCTTTCCCTTCAGGTTCTGACGTTATAATATCACCTGTATAAAAATGAGGGTGATGACGTGTTTCAGTACCTAGTCCTAGGTAATTGTATCGTTCAAATTCAGGTCAAGTGATTATTCATGAAGCATAAAGTGAAATCATTCATCTGTTAAAGTGGGTATTTGACAAGTTTCATCATTGCGATTAACCTTTGTCTATCGTGTATACAGTGTCAGCTTCATGTGGCGTGGTAATCGATGAGGGTAATGGATCACCTTTGGATGAGTGACCCAAATGAATATAAGATGATATAGAAGTTTATTCAGTACGGTCCTACGACATTGGTCTTATATTGACTCTTTTAAGTTATTAACAATATAAGTATAATACCCAGCTAAGCATGAAGCAACATAAATATAGGATAATTATTTATAATATATAGGATACTTGTATCTAATTTACGCAGAAAAGGTTGTGGAAATGAACAAGTTATAAATAAAAAAAATCTAAATCTGTTTGGAAAATTATTCTTTCTTAGATGATTAGAACAATCTTTCTATTGTTTTATTTTACTTTTGACATCGCGATGTTTCATTTATTTTCAACCGACTTAAAAAAATAAGGTTTCTCAATTTGATTGTATTTTTTGTTTGTTACCTCATAACTCCGTCACTTATAAATTTATGTGGAAATTTAGTTTTTTTTTATTTCAAAGTTATTACTTATTGCTTACACATTGGTCCCATAGAAATTTTATCAAAATTGATTCAGTAGTTTATATTCAAATCAAAATAATAGATTTTCCAAAATTAAAGTTGGTTTTTTAAAAAAATAAACAGGTAACTTGCTAAATCGTAATTAATTATTCTACTCATTAATTCCAAAAGAAGGAAATCTCATTCATTTCTACTTCGTTGCCAATTGTAAACCGATTTTGTTAAACATTTTGCAAACAAGAGCCCCGTATTTTTAGAGCAAAATTTTGCTTATTGCGAAATGAGTAATCTACTTATTTTAAATATTAACTTTCTGTGTATGCGTGTATTTTAATCATAAGTAAACCAACACAACAGACCATTTCGAGATAGCGTATATATAAAACATTACCATATTTTAAGTTAGACCTTCATAAATACAACTGTGTAAATTGCATCCAATTTGATGCAGTAGTTCCTGCGTGATATCGGAACAAACATACAGACAGACAGAAATAAATTATAAAAATTATTGTTTTATTGTTATGAAGATTCCTCATATAATTTTTTCATTCATAAATATCTTTCATATGAACACATCTAATAGCAGATTACTGCAGCGGCAACTGAGGCATTGATGGACGAACGTGCAAATGTGGGCCGAGGCGCAGCCGAGGCACACATACGTGAGTCCATCAATGCCTAGTTGTGGCCAAGGCTTGTATAGTACTTTTCTCAAACAATGCGCGGAAATAAAAACACAATTTTACTTTTTTAATTCAATGACGTATAACGAACAATAATAATTTTTCACGCGCCATAATGTTCTCTTGTTTTTTTTTCAATAAACAGCTTTCTATTTGCAAGCCAGTTCGAAATTTAAATAAAACCTTATATTAGTTACCTCCTTGGTTTCGAAGTAAAAGGTCATTCCATTTTTAAATTACAGAACAGATATGAGTTTACATAGTAATTTATCTGGCCCCAAAACACGACAAATATGGATTTTCATACAACTTTTGCCGGCCGCTGCCCGCATGTATCTGGCCAGTACGGCAATTTTGATTTATCTCTAAGAATATTGTCAAAATAATGCTCACATTTCCAACCGTGTTTAAGAAATTACAATTTGCATCTATAGATGCATGAATCCGCGTTATATATATTTTTTTAATCTACTAATTTAATTTAAATAATCAGTCAGTAGATCAGTCTGATTATTAGACAATATTTATTTTATCACGATTGAATGTGCTGTTTTTTGCGACGCGAAATGTGCTTTTGCCTTATAAATATATGTACGTACGGGCGTTATACACCTACACACTGAACTACATAGCGAAGGATTAAAATTGTATGAGAATGAAACTCGAACCACCTATTCCGGAAGCCTATTCGGATGCTCTGAAATGTCGATGTGTCCGGACAACCCGGATGAAGAGAGAGGTAATCTTACGAGTTATGGCTTCTTTAGTAACTTTTTAATAGGCTAATAAATATTTTATTTTATAATCTCGACATGCACTTTTTACAACTAGTAACACGCAGTATCACTTGCATTAATAATTTTGATCAGATTACATTTTTTAGTACGTTTTTAAATTTTAATTGTTAAAGTACTTTTAGCTCTTGGAATATATTTTATAGTGTTTGTACATCTATAGATGTTACGATTGTTACAATAAAGATTGTATTTTTAACCATTAATAATTTTATTTAGAAATATATAGGTACAAATCAGTTACCTGCCTAATATTTTGTTGATTATGAAGTCTAATCGTAAAGATTACTTATAAACAGTCAATTTACCATTATTAAATTATTTTTGATCACATAATTACCTACTATAGCTAGAAGTATGTTTGCTTCCGAAACGTTGTATAAAAATAATCAAAAATAGTTATTTTTTTACACGCCCATACGAAACTTAGCGATATGTATTTGATAAAACCGAAAAGTAATTCTTAGTACTTAAACGTTATAACGTACTTACTCAAAGAGTGATTGCTGGTATTGATATTTTAAAATCCAAAAGTATACGGTATCATTTCCAAATCCATATCCACTTCAGGCACTTGATCATCTGATCATTTTGGGGCTGCAAAACAGATTCGCACCGCACAAAGATATATGAACTATTGTATTATTAAAGTTTCATGTTAAAGCCGGCCGTATACATTTTAACATGTGAAGTCGGCGAGCGGGTCGAGACGGGCACGAGAGCGGAGCGCGCAGGCGGCGTGCGGGATACGGCGGGCGGCGGGCGTAGGCGCCACCTGTCGCTGTCGGCGCGACGGCGGGCGCGGGCCGGGCGACGGCTCGACGGCTCGACGGCGGCAGCGGCGGCGGCTCACTAGCGACTGAGGCAAACGCGCCGAGCCCGGGCACGTGGGGCCGCCGGGTGCCGCGCCGGCCGCCGCCCAGGTGCACCTGCACCCTCGCGCCCCCGCGCGGCCCGTCCGCGCAACCTCCGCTGCTGCTACTGCCTCGCTTGCACCCTTGCATTCTGTCTGCACTCTAAATAAATTAATACATGTACCTAATTAAAATATTGCCACAGGCAATGCTCAATTTGTCTAATGGAAGAGATTTCAATATATTGTACGAGTAAATATATACTTAATTAACATACAAGTTATTATTATTTTATCCGCCATTCCTATTTCCATCCCATTATAATTCAGTTCAGTACAGAGGTAAATGTTACGCTCAAAATCCTGTAGGACTACTATTATAAACTTATAATATTATATTATTAAAATCTCGAGTTTCGTGTAGACTATTATCGTAACGTATTTATATATATAGGATATAAGGCTTAAGTCGGGGCGTATGTATTTGAATCAGTGCCCTATCTAGTAATTTTGCCACACTAGTACAAAAATAATATTTACCGCATTTACACAGTCTATGGTATATCACTCTGAATAATAACAAAATATCCTGAACCATGAAGGGATTAAACCTTTCAAAAATAAAATTATATTTCAAAAAAATTATTCAATCACTGTTCCCAATATCATGTTAGTATTCAGTAGGTAGGGTTTCTTTAAAATTCCTACAAAAATATCAAAAAACAGGTTCTATGCAAGCAAGGACTCATATTATTCAAATATATCCTGTACAGACAATTTTGATATTGCCGAAACTCCTACAGCTATGAACACGACGATTGTCAAATAATTTTATGATGAAAACCGTAGTCATTCTTTATTCAGTAATATAGACTAAACCGTTCCATAACAACGTATAAATAGCCCATTACTGGGTACAGGTACTTCATTACAAGAGAATATCAGTCTATTTATGGCTACGCAAGTCACGCGGAATGGCATAGGTCATTCTCAGGCTTTCTAGAGAAAAAAAACTAGAAACGAAAACCTAGAAAGTGCTAGAGCATTGGATTTACTTTTTTTTTAGATGCCTTATACAATATCTTGAAAATTTGTGATATTGGTGATTAGTTATATTTTTACTTTGTCAGTACATTGAAGACGAGACCATTAAAATGTTTATTTAATTTTTGCTTCAAAGAGGGCAACGTTTTCAGCGTTGTTCAAAGTTTATATATGAAAATATAATTAAAAGGTTTGATTAATTTGAAAGTTTGTTAAAATCGGTACCATATAACTAGGTATCTGTTGTAAATTATTAAAGACTTTCCTTATAATTATTTGATAGGAGGCTCTAATTTTCCTGAAGTATTATTATACTTGTATTTGTATAATTATACTTAGTTTAAATTGTAAGTGAAATTGAGAATATTTTATTATACTTTTGTGTGTTTATGACTTCTGGGTTAATAATATAAAATACATGAATTGTCAGGTACTTGTCACAAACAAGACTTTTGGTCTACAAGTTAATAATGTTAACATTGATAACTTTTATTGTTTACCAGCCTTGTATGATGATGAAAATGAAAGACTATATAGAAATTAAATTAATTAATGTTATTCTTTGTATTATTAATGCATACTATATTGAGCAATAAATAAGTTTTTATAAAATCTACGAGTTAGACAGTAGTTTTTGGTACAGAGGCATACCATCTTTTTTCTTAGGAATGACGACGATTGAGGAGTTACACTATGGGTATTACAGTGTATTCAGTGACGATTGTCATACTGTTCATATGGTTACCAGTTTCCATAGTTTATATTGAATAAACATTTTTTTCTAGGAAATCAACTAAACAGTCGTTAACCAAATGATTACAAAGATGTAATCGTAGTAATAAGAATTATCTTTATAATGATAATAATCACGGACATAAAAATAATATGCGTCTAGATAGAACACAAACGAGTTTCGCATAGTTTGATTCAAATAACAACCTACCGTTGATATTATTAGGGGAGCACGTTGAGACGATCAACAGATGTCGATTTATCGTTAACGGAGTACCGTATAAGTAGAACATAATATAATGTATAAACAAAGGAAAAGGGGATAAATGTTTCGGTACTATGGAGTGATTTGCAGCAAATCTAACGTTATGCTAATAAAATTTTCAAACGCCATAACACTCGACTGAACATATTTTCGAATATCTTCAGTTCTTACTAATCGTTCTCGAATATTATTTAAAATTTTGTCTTATGATTATTATTACTTTTCTATATATTTATCTAACCTTTCCTTGTATTTTCATCTACGAAAATGTAATTATACAAAAAATATCCAAACATGAATTAAGTTTTGTTGGCATTTTATTATGACTGGAAGCACGTTGAACATTTAAAACGTTCACAGTACTTCCAATAGTATTTAATTTAACAGTTAATTCTGCTAAAGTGTTGTGAAAATATCACGAAAGTTAAATATTAATCTCTATTTTCCTGCTAAAGGTGCGTAATAAGAAATTAACAACTAATTACATTTGTTTTATTACATAAAAGAGAATGTGTATGGTGGTAATATAATTCTGAGTATTAAGTTTATAAGAGTAAAGTTGTGGTAAAGTAAATGTGCATAATGGGAAAAGTGGTGGCGCGGTCGATGGAACAAGTTATAAAATAAGCCACCAGTAGGCGTGCAGACGGCTGCGACGGGCTCGCTCGACTCGGCACACTGGACCCGTGCCAACCCTTGAACCTCAATATAAAATATACTTACTCAGCTTTGACTAGTCAATTGTTTCTTAGTCAACGTAAACGTCAAAACATAACTACCGCTCGTGGGTTTTGATGGTTTTTTTGTATTTATTTGTAATTTTTTTTTTAGTTTATTTAACAAATACATAGGAAATAGAATGAGTTTTATAGAAAGTACGCAACAACGATATTTGTACGTTATTCATATACTTAATAAATTTTTAATCATTAATTATACAATAAATATTCGAATTACTTACTATCTATTTTTTCACTATCTATTTTCGCTCACGCTCATCAATGAGGAATGATGAAGTTTTCCCTCATAAAAAATAGTTGCTAGATACAAACGCGTTCTTGATATGTCACATACCATGTTTATCGTATTTCGTTCACCACATATCGTTACTGAATAAACGTTTTAGATTACCCCTATTATCGACAGCCACTCGCATAAACAGAACAAGCGAATTTATTAATATGCCAAACGGATTCAATGCTTAAAAGCTGCTTTTACTTACCTGTGATATTTTGCGAAACTTGTCGAGTAATGTTTTTGCTATAATTCTTCATACTAGGTGAAATCGGAACCATTAATATAATTTTAACGCCGTTTTTCAATCAATGTTTTCTTGGCAAAAGTATCAGCGTTTCGCAATTTATCTGATTTATTATTTTTTATATCCTGTATATTATTTTATTACTGCTAAAATATAGCTGCGCAAGTTCTATAGGTATTTAGTTACAGATATTTGTTTCATTTTATAATTAAATAAAAAATAAAACATAGACAAATAATCTCCTAATAATGCAGTTGGAATGATTGGAGATTCTTTTTTTAATATTTGTATGTAATAGTCCAATTTTGGTCCAGATGAAAAAAAATTTAATCCATTGTCCAAAAATTAAAAAATAATTGCCTATTTATGATCGCACTTTCATTCTCATCATAACTCAGGACAGAAACGACATATTATATCGTTTGGATGATTTGTTTCGTTTATTATATTTTTCATTTTTAAATAATTAATATTAATTACTTAAAATTTTCGATTCATTTAGTTAATATTTAAAAAAATTAAAACTATGATGCCATAACGTCAAAATGCAGACAATTGACCACATACGCAAGTACGTAAAGTGTTTCATAGAGATTAAATATTTTACCATGCACCAAAAATCTCCAGCATCGATAGAATGTACAAAGTGGTTTTATTAGTTGTTCCGAATATCAATAATATAACATGGTAAAGGGGCGAAAACAATATAAATCTTAGAGTAAGGCAGTCAGTTTGTGTTGTATATATATATAGATATTAATGTATTCACTCTGGCTGTACAATGACGATATTTATATACTGACGAATTTTATAAAATTTTATTCAGTGTGTTTGTGGAAAGAGAACAAATGTTCTTTTATTAATAATATCAATTTGTTAATTTAAGTTTTTTTATTTTTGCGTCACATAACGACAGAAAAATGTTTTAGTTGTTCATTTTCAATTTCTAAATTTATCGCAATCGTTTCATGCTGCTGATACAGGTAATATATCTCTCACGTAAATTTCGAATTGTTGTAGGTAATTGTTCTAAATGTATACCTATTCCTTCCAAATTGAATACCAATGGCCTAAACCTTTAATAGATACCATTATCACACAGAAAAGCTTTTTATTATTGTCATTTTTCACGAATTTATTGGAAACTGGGCAAAAGCCCTGACTGATTAGTTATTTTATAATATTAATAAGATGTAAATATGTTAGTTATACGGAACAAATAAACGAATTTTAATAAACTTAAATAACATATCAAACTAAACTCTGAATGGCTGATAGAATAAAAATTTGTCCATGCACCAGGCATTTAAATTAATTTGCAAGAATAAATTATATAAGTAGTATAGCTATTAAAACAATGTTTTGTTCCTTATATAATTTGCTAATATCTATATATCAGACTAATAAATAACTTTTTAATTATTTATTAGTCTGACGTAAGTAAATAATATACTTCTAGGCTAAAACGCTTAGTAGTACCTACATATATCGCCAATCCTTCTCTAATATGGAAAAAGATCCGAAGTCAACAATTGATGGTTTGAATCCAATAGATTTAGATGAATTATTTGATTTATATAATTTCCAAATCTTTAAATTTAAATATATTCTTTAAATATTTTTAGATTTTTGTATACAGATACTTGTTACTTTAGAAGTTTTATTATTTCTTTTTATCTAACAGATGGTTTGTTTGTATCTCAAACTATCATAAGTTTTACAATATAAGTGTAATGATATACATTTTATTTAAATTAATGTAATAGAGGGTCAATTAGAAGAAAGTCGTATGAATGGGATACAATTACATAAACAAACGTATGAATAATACATACATATTTGTACCTTTTTATTCATAAAACTAAAATCTCCTAAA